CCTCAGTTGGCGCATAGCAACCGCACTGACATCGGTTGCTTAGCCTTACGTCACCCTTCCAAGAAACTTCAGGAAGGCGTCGCGTAACAGTAATTATGTAATTGTTTTTTTTACCTTATTTTTGTTGCTCAGAGTTAAATTGTGCGTTATTTTGGTTCCGAACTCTTTAATTGATTGGACTCTCGACTAGATTTCTTTTGAATTATGACCATACCCTTTTTTTGCATTTCGTAAATAAATAGTCAATCAAGTACATCTCAACTTCAAATTAAGTCTATTCAAGTCCATATCTTTCCAATACTAAATAAAACATTCAAATGATTTATCAGACTCAAATTATTTTTACACTAACCGTTAACCTATCACAACTCTCTTATTTTATCCAAGTTTAAAAATGTTTGGACTTTGCAAAAGGAACATAAACAAAGTTAACTGTAAAGTAATGGAATGGTAGTACATGAAAAATGATACAGTACTAGGAAAAGGCAGTTCAATGACTAATAGATAGATTTCATGTTGGAAGAACAAAAAGCTGAGAAATCTTTTAGCTCAGTTTTGTAAGTTTAGGTTACTTACAGAGGAGACATAAACCTACTTTAGCATGTCAATATACAGTTCTTAATGGCAGCAGTTAATTACTGTAATATCCACAGAAAGCTTCTCGTCATGCACACCATATTAACCTCGAGATCCTGGTTATGATCACACATTTCCAAGTGCCCTTATTAACTTGGTGAATATGTCTTTCACAGGGACACATGTAACATAAGGCAGAGTCATGTCATCTTTTGCAGCATTCTTGTCACCTACATCATGGTTGCACTTTTGTCCATCGCCACGAAAGAATGTTCTTGGTCCGTTGTTTGACATGTTCGGCTTCTTAGATGCAGAAGAGGTTGTGTAACAGACAGGAGTTCTCTTTGATGTTGTCCAAACAAGTTGAGGCATTCTTCTCTTGTTTTTCAGCTGATCCGAGCTCCCTTTCTTAACAAGAATTATTTCAGAACTATCATCTAATACTTCTATGTTGATGGGGTGCCCTACGATTGCCTTTCCGTTTAATCTACTCATTAAAGAAACAAGAGGAGTAGGCTCTCCTCTATAGGTGCCTTGAACTGTCATATCCACATCTATTAATGTCTTCCGCGTGCACGTGGTGAACTTTGAACTAAGGCTTTGGCTGCTGGCTTCCTCTGTGAGAGAGTTCCCTGGACTAGGCCGAGAGTTGTGATTGAAATCCCGTGACAAGGTTTCAAATGATTCACTACTTCTTTCAACTGATCTGCTCCTACAATGTTGATTATGCATTTTCCTTTTGTTGACTGCTGGACGACTGAAGCTCATCTTTTTTGGTCGCAATGTATAGTAACCTGAAGATGTCTCCATATGTAATTTACTACAATGATTGTTAAACATAAATCATATGATGTTAAGGGATATTCTATGATGCAAAATTTTCTAGAATTGAAGTCACCAGTTAGTTGCCTCAGCTATTTCACTGGTGGGCATTATTATTATTGAATAGAAATATAAGGCACAATCATTACGTACTTAAATATATGAGAAAGACAAGAAGTTAGATTATCATTAGAAGGATTATACAGATGCATGTACACAGCTCCATAAGACCGATTATACAGCTCCAGCTAGAGATGAATCTAATTAAGTAAAGACAGATAGAGCTTCCTCAAATGTACAATCATGTAAGATGATGTTTCAAAACCATAAACAAAAGGATCAAACAAAGAAGCAGAGGAGAGGATAAACATTAACCTGCAGATGCAGTTGTCTCACTCTTCAAGGAACTCGTGGACTTGGAAGATGAATGATTACTATTAGAGGGGGGAATTATCTTTGATGATTGAGAATGAACTGATTTCTCCAAAAATGGTATAGCACATCTGTTTCTCTTTGTTCTCTCGACACTTTCTCCATATGTTTCACCATCTTTATATCCAGAAACAAGTAGTGTAAGAGGTCAAATAACTGAAATTTTACCAATTACGAGTAACGAGGAATTGGCAGTCTAGTATATATATGTGTGGCAATACCTGGCATTTTCAGTTTCTCCTGTTGTTGCTTCTCAAGTTGAAGAGCATGAAGAATTGCATCTTCTCGTAGTGCATACTTGAGCTTTTTATTATACATATAAACCTTGGATGATTCGGCCTTTTTGATACAATCATCAAACTCGCCACATCGAAATGCCTTTACGCGACTGGACTTCTCCAGGTTGTACCAGTACCTGATAGTAATTAGTTACACACTAACATGATTTGCTGATCCTAAATCAACAAAATATTATTAGGCATAGTTTTATCCTTTTCTCTGCTTCCTAGGTGCTCAAGAAGCTGTACACGAATCCAATTTACAAAAAAATCAACAAAATAAAACCACAAGAGAATTACAATACAAACTACGCTCAAGTTAAGCTGCAAAAGAGAAGTTTCTATGATTAGGACACAAAGGCCACAATTCCATTTCATAACATTATTGCTTATTGTCTAAGAAGCAAAACAAAATAACATTTATCCCTCATTTCTTGAACATAAAAACATTCAAGGAAATGGTAAAACGAGAAATTATGCTCTCTTTATTCTTATTTTTTTAGCAGCAAAAGGCAGCTGTTCATGTAAAAACTTAATATAATACCTTAATGTTTTTCTAATTTTTACCAAGTAAAAACAAAGGGGTACTCAAGAATTTCATATTGCAGCTTCTAACAACACAGAAAGCACACAAAAAATAAGGAGATAAGACATACACAGAAGCATTATCTCGACCAAGAAGCTTGATGGGAAATCTTGAACTGAAACTATTAGGAGAAACAATCCCAGTAGTTGAGATTTCATTGTTACACAGTATTTTCCCTGGCCACCATGTTCCATTTTTCCTCTGCACCCAAACTATACTTCCTGCGCTGCAGGTTTTTTCTCCCATTTTTCTCTTCTGAAAACCACAAAATGCACAAGATTTCATAAGTTTATCCTTTAGCTTGGTTTTACTACTACTTCATCATTATCATAAAGAAAGTTGCAGAGCCAAGAATAAAGCATCCAATGGCACTCTGCTACCTGTTTTTTTCTTTTTTGAATGTACGATAAACGTACCGTTGCCTCTCTTTTTTGGTTTGTCTTTTTCTAAGAAGATGGAGGGAAACTATTGTGTGATACTGTATTATGAGTATCAAATTTTTATTCTAAAAAATGTACTACACTTTAAATTTTGACGCAAGCCAAAATTTAATATACTACTCGATTGGTCAATTTTTGCATATTTTAAGTTTAACCCATACAAAATTTCTTTCCAACGTTTACAGTCAAATTTTTCTATAACATGATTGTTATATATCTGTAGTAGTATTTGACGTTTAAAAATTGTCTTGGTATTATAGACAAAAATTATCAGAAAGTTCTTTTTCTAATGTTACACATAAAAGATAAAGAATTATTTAAATATAAAATTCTAGAAGATATGCATATTTCACTAAGTACATATTAAAGAAAGATAATATATTATTAATAAATTCATAACCAAATGTACATAGATTTAAAAAGTAAGGCACACATTTTAAAAATATTAAAAAGTTAAATTCTTTCAAAATTAACTTTAAAAAATATATGTGCAAATCTTCGAATCTTAAGCATTATATATACAAGACGAATACTTTGTCCAATGAAAAAGATTGAATATGAGATCTATCTTCAAATATTGACATTTTGCATAATAGAATCTTTTGTGCAATTGAATAAAAATATACAAGCATATCTTTAATCAAAGAAAATAAATTTTAATTAGGGAAGTATATACTAATATAATATTTTTTATTATAAGTGGTGCATTAAAGTTTTAAAAAATTTGATCAAATTAAAATCTCTAGGCTTATTATTAGTAACCTTAGAAATTATACATGAATGTTATAGAGTGATAATTGTACAAAGAGCGTACTTCAATAAAGATGGATGTTGTTGTTATAGGTAAAAAGTATTATAGAGAGATAAAATATAACATAAAAATCGATTCCGGAAAAAATACTTATGGCTTTTATAGTGAATGACTGTTATATAGGAATGTTATTATAGAGAAGTCTGACTGTAATATTTTTTCTTTACACTTTTACGGTCTCTCCATATAGGATTTATGTATATAGTCAATTTAATGAATTTCTAGGGTGTAATTTTATCTACTACAACATGTTTTTACTTATTTCTAGCTTACTATTATATTACATAAATTTCAAATTTATGGTGAAAAAAGTTGTATATTATCACAAGTTTAACTCCTCTATAATAGAAGAAAAATTTTCCCATTTGGCGATCAAAGAAAACTACAAAAATTTTAACAAACAAGTAAAAAAATGGTTTGAGTTTGAGTGATTGAATTATGATCCATTCTAGAATCGGGCGAATGAAACAAGTAAAAAAAGTGCTTTAATTTTTTGACCCGATAGCAAAAGTTTTGGAATAACGTTTTGTGCTAGAATTTAAAGCACGCTGGGCAGAATTTTCCTTAAGCGTCGGAATTTTAAAGCACGCAACAATAACGGTGATTCTCAAAATTCCTGATGCTTCAACATTTTTGGCGATCGAGGAAGATCATGTCCATCGTGCTTTAAAATTATGGTGCAGGGCTATTTTCCGAAAACACTTCTTAACGGGATTAAATCGTGGTTTAAAAAGGTCATCCAGCGTAATTTGCTATCTAGAATTGTAGGCAAATAAAATTGTAGCGTAATTTGCTATCTAGAATGGTAGGCAATTAAAATTTTATCGAGTTTAAATCCATAAGAAATTTCGATTTAATTTTAATTAAATATATTTGTTCCAAATAAATATTATGGGGTAATATAATTGGATTAATTATAAAAGTTCAATATATATGGATTAAATAAATAAAGTCAATTCCATTGAGTTAGCCCATTTAATTGGGTTACAAATGATGAGCTCGCTTTATTAAGCCCAAGATGTCATCTTCCTAGAGGCCCAGTTTGGTGTCATGTGTAAATTGACGTGGCACGCCAAGTCAAATGGAAGAGCCAATAGGATCGTGACATGCGTCAAAATGATAAGGCATGCCAAGTCAAATTAAAAGGAACCGCGCTACATGTGCAAGTGACATGTTCTGGCCAATCAAATGTAGTATTGTCACAAAGAGTTTGTTCTCATCACAACTCTTTCCTCCCACAACTATAAATAGAGATTTTCATAATTCATAAAACACACCAAAAGTCATAACAAGAAGCAAAAGAGAGCTCGTAGATCAAACGTCGCAAGTTTTTTTACAAGTTTCAAGTTTCAAGATTCAAGCAATTAAGTTCTAGTTAAAGAAAGCAAGTTCAAGAACAAGAATGAAATCAAATATAAGGTGTTCGAGATCAATATTACTTGTTCTTAACATAATCACTGTTTGTGGCGACCATCAAGACATTCGTGACGGATAAATTAAATCTAAATTCAGGATCAAGCTCGAAAACCCCTGAATTTATTTTATTTAATATTGAAAAGAAGAATCAGAGGGATTATAGAGATTGTAACACTCATATTGTTTGAAATCAAATACTACAATTATTACAATATTTTTTGGTCTCGATTATTTTCTTGACGCAAAATTTATTGTCTACAAATTATAGTACGCCCAGTGGGACCAGTTCTTTCCTTCATCTCTTCTTCTTGCAAATCGAAAACTATAATTTTCAAAATTAATTGTTACAATGGTCGGGTACTTTAAGTCTCGTCTTCAAGTTTCGGCAAGTCTACACCCCTAACAAACTTTGACGTATGGGGCATTTGCAAACATCAAAATTTAACAGATCAAGCTAAATCCTAAATTCAAGACACTGCAAGATTACTTTTGAAATCCTAGGAATCTATTAGGGTTGCTTGGTGGCTACTCTACCAAAACCCTAACTTGAAGGCTAGTATACCCTAACCCTAGGTCACTCGTATAAAAATAATTATATATTCCCTTAAAAAAGGATCTCAAAAATGAAGATCATCTCAAATATCCCATAAACTCACGGGATACTTACAAAGAGATCAAGATGTGGCCGGATAATTTTTGATAATCAAATACTTCAAGAAGATCCACAACATACTTTCATGGATATCAGATACATCTAAGGAAGTCTGAAATCATCCTACGTTCCAGAAACACGATGCTCCAGCCTTCAAATAATGGAGATAATAAGGAGAGAAGAATCAAGGGAGAAACGGAATTATACTCACAATTGATTAATAAAATTACTTTATTCTTTTGTGATTGCAGTTATTTTTTTTGTGCCGAAAATTCATTACAAACAAATTGGAATAATAGAATTGTAGACAATAAATTTGCGTCAAGAAAATAACCGAGACCAAAAAATATTACAACAACCGTAGTATTTAATTTCGAGTAATATGAGTGTACAATCTCTATGAATCATCTTATTCTTCTATCCAACAGTAAATAAAATACATTCGGGGGCTTTCGAGCTTGATCCTGAATTTGAATATAATTTATCCGTCACGAACATCATGATGCCCGCCATGAACAGTGATTATGTTAATAACAAGTAATCTTGATCTTGAACACCTTGTATTTGATTTCATTCTTGATCTTGAACTTGCTTTATTTAACTCGAACTTGATTGCTTGAAACTTGAAGCTTGTAGAGAAATTTACGGCGTTTAATCCACGAGCTCTCTTTTGCTTCTTCTTATGACTTCTGGTCCATCCCATTTTGAAATGAACTTCCCTACAGGTTTATGAGAAGTAATAATGGGTTTTCGTATGGAAATGACTTGATCTCCTACTTGAAAGGATCTTGGGCGAACTCTTTTATTAAAGGTACGAGATAATCGAACTTGATAACATTCAAGACTCTATTGAGCTTCCAACCACTTCTCATCAAGAGCCTCCTATTTGCTAGTCGAAGTCGAGCATTTTCTTCATCAGAGATCCCTTCTTAAATAGATAATCATAATGAAGGTATTTGACGCTCGAGTGAAAAAATGACTTCGACTCCATAGACAAGTGAATAAGGGGATGCTTGTGTTAGTGTGCGGTGAGTTTTCCTATACGCCCACAAAACTTCTTCCATACGGTCATGCCAATATCGTTTAGATTTGGAGACGACCTCATTCAACAAGTTGCATAGAGTATTATTGAATACCCCATCTAGGCTATTGGCGGTGGCATTGTACATAGAAGAGTTACATTGCTTGAAGGCAAAGAGATCACAAATCTTGTTCATCAACTTGTTGTCGAATGGCTTGCCATTATCCATTATTATGTAACCAGGGATGCCAAAGCGATAGATTATATTTACTCGAATGAAGTTTGCAACATTCTCCTTCTATACTTCCTTGAGAGAAATGACTTCCGCCCATTTTGAGAAATAATCTATTGCAGCCAAGATATATAAATGTCTGCCAAAAGATTTGGTACGGTCCGACGACATCCAATCCCCAAGCATCGAATAGCCATGATGCAACAGTCTAACGTAGCACTTCAGGAGGCTGATGAATAAAATTTGTATGGAACTGGCAAGCCTTGCATCTTCCAGCGTAGTCCAAGCAATCTTTTACCATCGTTGGCCAATAATATCCCATCCTTTTTATATGAAAGTGTAGCTTTGGGCCAGACTGATGTGATCCACATACCCTAGAATGTGCTTCTTGCAAATCTTGGAGTGCTTCATCTTACCCTAAGCATGGTAAGATCAAATGATCTTCTATATAGGGTATCCTTGCAGTAAAGGAAACGCAGCGCGACGACGGATCTCAGTCCTTTTTTCTTGGATTTTCGAAGTATCCCATAACTCAAGTAGTCGATAATGAGTTGTCTCCATCCTTCCCTCTCAGCTTCAGAAACAGTGACAAGATGATCGAGTTTGTTTTCTTTACTTTAACCCGTATTTGGCGACGATACTACCCATTTTTAGCAGATAGTAACTTGCGCTTGATCAGGGAGAGTTAATGATGAAGCTAGAGCA